AAGGAAAAAAAACTTTAAAATAACGGCAATTTTACAACGTTTCGACAAGTTTTTCTCATCATCAAGTTTTTCTTCATTACCCATTCAAGCCGTCTCCAGCCATTATTAGTCTCAAAGTGGGTTCCTCGTCATCGAATTTGAAATGGATCTAAAATGGGTCAGAATACTTTATTAGTGTGACGTGAACCAACGATGAAATTTAAAACCGAAAGCCCCCGCGTGGATTTTTGGGGGAAACGACATTGTGATCATGTTTCTGTCACTTTTTTAGCAAAGACGTTTATGAAGGTTATATTTAATCGTGTATTAAGTCAACGGATTTAGCTTATTCTAGAATTGTAATGCCATCAAGAAAATATCTTTGATAAAAACTTTAGCACAGAAAACGTAAATTTGCACATTTTTTGACAAAGGAGGAATAAATGATGCTTATCAGTGCATCTTTTATGGTTGATTAGTTGACATAAGGTATTATCTCTTAATTACTGACTTTACACGAGTTATATCTACAGGAATTATGGTTAGAGGGCGCTCGTCTCGCAATCTGAGGGTCGCGGGTTCGAATCCCCGTCACACCAAACATGCTCGCTTTTTCAGCCGTGGGGGCGTTATAATGTGACGGTTAATCCCACTATTCGTTGGTAAAAAAAAGTAGCCCAAGAGTTGCCGGTGGGCGGTGATGACTAGCTGCCTTCCCTCTAGTCTTACACTGCTAAATTAGGGACGGCTAGCGCAGATAGTCCTCGTGTAGCTTCGCGCGAAATTCAAAAAAAAACAAACCAGGAGTTATACCTTTTGCTTACAGTTTACTCCTTCTTTAAAAAAAACATCTTAAACAAATCGCTAAGGCACTCCTTGCTTTAAAAGCACTTTTATTTGTAAATGTGCACTTCATGTAATTCTTTGAATAAAATAGTTAGGATCTGACGAATAATTCTAGTCCCATCATACTATAATATTCCTGTAGTCTACAGCAGTTTGGAGAAATAATTTAAGTATTGTACTACAGTTTGAACTTCATAGTTATATGATACTATTAAAGTATTGTTTTGTTTTGTTGTTGTTGTTCTTGCAGTGTCAAATAACCTTTTTTTGGGGGGGGTTTCGAAAACGTCTAAATAATACATTTTCGTAAGTTCATACTCGATTTGAATGGTACATACCGAAGTGTTTTGTTTACAACGACGTCTGAAGAGATGCAAAAAAAATAGTTCTTTCTGAGTTTAATTCCAATAAACTCCTGCTCTGTTTTTTAATATACTATTATTTACAACGAATTCTATTAAAATTAATCTTCATCTTTATACAAAATTACATTATTTGTAATGCTTTCAAATATAGCGAATTGAGGGTTCGTTTCAAACGAGTGGCGTAGGGATACAACCGAACCAGGGCGTGAAGTGTACACAGCATGACGCTGTACAAAAACTTATCGTCCTAACCTCTTTCATTTCGAGATGAAGCGTTTACAGACACGGATCACGTGAGAGTGACGTTTGTCAAACACAATTCACGACTTGTGAAAGAAATTGAAGATTTCTTGGTGTTGAAACGAAGGTTAAATGGAACGTATACGTTCAGGATAGCGCTGGGAATTAAATTCACTATTAATTCAACTCTAGCACTATAAACCGGTGTAATAGCTACTTGTATCTAGCTCGCTTCTCTTTTGAAATGGAAATGCTTAGATTTGGAAACATGTTTGGTTTGTGTTCGTTGTTTTAGAGCAAAGCCGCTCCTCAGTGGCACAGCGGAATGTCTGCGGACTTACAACGCTAGAAAACGGGTTTCGATACCCGTGGTGGGCAGAGCACAGATAGCCCATTGTGTAGCTTTGTGATTAATTACAAACAAATTTAGAGTAAAACCACATTGGGCTATTTGCTGTGCCCATCGTGGGGAATCAAACCCCAGAATTTAGCGTTGTAAGTCTATAGACTTACCGCTGTCCCACCAGGGGGACTGGAAACATGTTTGTATAATTCGATTGCATTTGAATCACTATACAAGGGGCCCGGCATGGCCAGGTGGTTAGGGCAGTCGACTCGCAATCTGCGGATCGCGGGTTCGAATCCCCCATCCCACCAAATATGCTCGCCCTTTGAGCCTTGGGGGCGTTATAATGTTACGGCCAATCCCCACTATTCGTTGGTAAAAGAGTAGCCCAAGAGTCGGCGGTGGGTGGTGATGACTATCTGCCTTCCCTCTAGTCTTACACTGCTAAATTGGGGACGGCTAGCGCAGATAGCCCTCGCGTAGCTTTGCGCGAAATTCAAAGAACAAACAAACACTATACAAATAACTACGTGTTGAAACCACATTTAACTTCCTTCCCCTCCGGACCTCTTATCAATACCATCTAGAATACCTGCTGCAGTTCGTTTTGTTTTCGGGCGTTTCGTTCTGCTAACGAGCTAAAGGTTGGCGTTTTCTCGTGTCAGGAGCTTCGACTGGTTAAATCGCACCTTAATAATCTATTCTTCTTTCTTAATACATTCATAAATCTCTTAGAGTTCAAGAATTTGACATAATCTTGTCGGAGTTATAATAGTGCGCGTTACCGAATTTCGATAACCAGCAAGTTACTTGCGGATATTTAAAACTTACGGATAACTTGCCGTTTTCATACAAAGTTTCCGTTGTTCCTCAGGGCGTTAGAAATGTTTCGAGTGTGATAGCATGTGTAGTTAGCTTAATCGTGGTCAGAAGTTGGAAATAAGGTTGCTTTTGACGGTCAAAAGCGATAAAACTTACTGCAATCTATAAATATATGAAATCTGAATTACCAATTCGGGGACAGACAGACGTCCAAGACATCAATGAATGAAGAAAAACATCTTAACTTTACAACAATTTACCACCAAAACAAATAAAGGGTGCAGATAGAAGTGCGAAAAATGAAGTATTTCACACAATGATAAGTGGACAGTGTCCACCCTTCAATCTAATAATGTACGTACATTAATCAGTAACGAATATACTCGAAGTTTCGAATTCCTTTATAAAAGTTTATAAGCAGAAATCTGAAACACATTTTAAAACCAACAAGAAATCGCAAACACCAAATTCTAGAATGCCCTATTTTACTTATATTCATAACTTTTTTTTAAAAGACTCTCCAGTGGCTCAGCAGTAAGTCTGAAGGCTTATAACGCCTTTCGATACCCGTGGTGGGCAGAGCACAGGTAGCCCATTGTGTAGCTTTGCGTTTAACAACAAACAAAACTGTCTAAAGAGGTTCAACAACCCGTATTTCTTTTTTTTCCCCCTTCTTCTTCATCTTCTTCTTCAACATAATGGTTATTAAGGCTTTGAAAGGAACAAAGAAGACCTGATGTGAGATTCATTATCTTGATGGCATCACTTAGATAGCAAGTATCAATTCCATGCTAGAGTAGAAATCCTTAAGATCAGAGAAAACAACTAATAAACTACAGAAACATTTTCCCATTCTTGTATCGCAAGGTTTGCAGAGATTTCTTTTATGTCTCCTGCTTTTCTGGAAACTATTGTAATCTAGACTCAGCCATACTTAAAAAAAACTGCTGACATTAAAATAATTGTTCTTACTAGAAGCTCGAAGAAATAATAAGGATTGGCCATCTTGTAAATATATGATAAAACGTTAGACCGTCTATAAGGACATGGAAACTAACTAGACCTGTATAATAAATATATATACCATTTATTTATTTATTAAAAGCTAGATCTTTAAAATAATTATAATAGTTTTCAAGTTTAAGGGAAATATATATATAGAAAATAGAAAATGAGGCCTTTGTAGTAAAATAATTATATCAATAAAGTATAAATTTTTTGTGTTGCTAAATCATTACAAATGCA